CTGAAAGAGATTTCGGTCAGGAAGACAGAGTTAAAGGAGACTTGTGTTACCCATTCGTATTTCTGAAGTTCTATTGGATTGTAATAATGTGACACATTAACAATTAGAATGCACGGCGGAGACATTTTGATTTCTTCTCTTCTTGTGTTGTCGCCATTACGACTTCTCGTGGTTTAGGAAAAGAAATCTCTTGTAACTTTTAATTATTTTTTATAATAGAACACTTTGAGAGAGCTAACGGAAGAAATTGATGGTATTGTGATGAATTATTTTCAATTTACCGTGCATACCAAAGAGAACAATTTTGACTCTTTAATTAATCATCAAAGAGAGAATGTGTGTTTTAAGGACGAAATACAAATATATATTATTTCAGATTTTAGTTTATCAATCCCGATTAAAAGTTCATATTTTATTCTGCATCCATTTACCAATTTTCTTCTACATAGATAAAATATTGTAGCAAAAATTACAATGTTTTTGTAATCCTGAACTGTATAGAATTATACATGACTGCAGCTACCATATATTTATAGTGCATATACTAAATATTTCTTTAAAAATGTTACGTGCGTTTGACTTCTTACTACAAAATTATTTTAATGTGTAATTACTTTAATATGTTTTTCCATGTCGTATACCAGGTAGATTGTCGAATTGATTATTTCTACGACAAAAAGAAACAAATAAAAGAAATATAATTTTGACATAATTTTTACTATAATCTTTTTCCGTATACTAATTATGGAGGGAAAATAAATAATAATTATGATACTTCTTACTGCAAGAAATTATAAGTTAGAAAAAAGATTCTAATTTTTTATAATATATAAAATATTCATATATTTTGTAAATTATGTTCTCGGTATATGATCAGAAGCCATCATTGACACAAGAAATGAGAAACAGAAAAAGTTTTGAAATATAAAAATTGCAAGAAATCGAAATGATTTCTTCAGGCATTCAAAGGGAGTTAAAAAATATATTTTAGGGAATTTGCGAGATCATTCGCACATAATATAAGTAAAGCAAATTTTAAAGTTAATATATCTCCTGATTTTAATCCGTATGCACCTTGTTAAATAATCTTACACGAAGTGCAATGAAACGCTCATAATTTTTTAATTTTTTAATTTTTTAATTTAATTTCCATGTTAACGCATAAGTTCTCGTGTCAGAAATATATAAAATTGTAATTTTGTTGCAAGAGATACTGCGAGCGTAAAGAACAGAAAGAGAGAGAGAAAGAGAGAAAATATTTCAGTAACATATTAAAAAAATAATTAAATTGTCAAAAACAGCTTGTCTCTTTTTATTTCTAGCTGTACCTGTTACATTCCCTTCTTTTCCGTTATATTTCCTCTCACACATCGTAAGAAAAACACTCGCCTCATCGGCGAGATTAAAAAAGTTACGCGATAAAGGGTTAACAAGCTTAAATCGTTTACCGTGAAAAGCAATATTTTTCGCGAGTCAAACTCAAATAACTTAAGACAAAAAAGAGGATATTGACACGCGATAAGTTTTTCGTTGAAAATATTTACTATAGCCCGACAGAGTTGTATTCTTCGTATTAGAGAGAGAACGTAGAATTTTCTCGCATGTCGCAAGATGCAAAATGGAGATTTTTTTGTAGAAAACAAATGGTTACACACATTTCATCGCAAATTAAAGTTGCTTGAAAGCTCGAGAGTGTTGCGAACTTCACGCAACTCTCGGCATTGCATAAAAGTAATCATGAAAAAAAAGTTCCCACAAGTTTCACATGCATATTTTACTAATTTTTATCCATCACCGGCCGAGAAAGATAGAAAAAAAAGAGAGAGAGGAGGAAAGTATTCTCAGGTTCTCCAACTAATATTGGAGTATCAACCTATATTGGTTCTCAAACTATATTAATATTAAATAATAGATATTTAAGCAATAGACAATCTAAATAAAACAGTCAAGTAATATTTCCCCTCAAATTTTATTTACCTTTTTGGTCAGTTGAATGGCATGTTAAATGAAAAATATAATTATCAAAGCCGTTCACTGGAAATGGAACAGTTTAACCTACGAGTTAACAGCTGAGAGCTACGCTGCGGGCATCTGCACACATCATCATCTTACAGCCGAGCCCGTGAACGTAAAAGGCAGAAGAGATTGTGAAAAGGTAGTTTACGTGTAAAACAAAAAGTGTGCAAAGTGGCGAGAAAAGCATTGAGAGAAAGAGAGTGAGAGAGAGAAAGAAAGAGAGAGAGCGTAATTGCAGAGTAGAATCAATGTGAAACATTAAATTTTCCTCATAAACGAATTATTAGGAGAAAATATATAGGAGATGATAACATGCGTAAAATGATAATACAAACGTAATAGTGATAAGATTAATTGCAATTATTATTATGCATATTGTAATATTTTAATTGGTTATGGTTATCGCGTGACGCACCCTCATGATACGAGTATGTTGCAGACGTAATTATTATTATAATTATTGTCGCAGTCGTATATTACCGCCATGCGGGTTACTGCTTGATAAACTAATTGACGATGTCGATTGTAACATGGCTTACGATATAACGTGCCCGAATGCCCGCGTCCGTTTTGCGTGTATCGACTTGCAAGCTTCCAGTTATAGATTATGAAGACCGAGCTATCGCTGAGTCGTCAGATGCACTGGGTGCGAACTTTGTATAGACCAACGTAACTTCGCTGTAAAATCACTTCAACGGAAGTTCAAATATTTTCCGATTCGCCATGAAGCATTCCGCCAACTTCTCCGAGCAATTAATGAGCAAAAATTATTCCGCTCCGGCGAAATCGACTCTTTCCCCCAAAATTGGACGATTTTACTTGCATATCAATATTATCCATTAAATACTTATTGTTGACACAAATAAATTAATCAGAAAGACTTTGAAATGTTTAGTCCAAAAATTAGGACGCATGAAATAATGATTATATATTGAAAAACTTATATATTGAAACTATATATATTTAAATATTTAAATTAACAATATTTAAATTAACAATATTTAAATTAACAATTAAATAAAAATAATTAAATTAACTATATTTAAATTAACAATCATTTTCTCATATATAAACAATGATATATAATTTCATTAGAAATTTTAAAACTTCAGAATTTCAGTTATTATGAATTTTAAAGCTTTGAATATCAACAATGTTATAACTTTATTTAGATATTATAATATAGCCTTTTAAGATACGATATGATACGATTATTTCGATGATAATATCTTCTTCCAACATTTAAAAACATTATATTGTCAAACAATATTTTATGCCATTTCCATTCATGAAAATTATTTTCCTTCATAAAAATTATTTTTTAATAATGAAAATGTATTGTTCATTGTTGAATCATATAAAATATATTGATGCAAGTAATTTGTCTTTATTTAACGCTATGTAATCTTATTTTAGAATTTACATGCTAAAAATAATTATATTTTCGAAACATAATTTTTCTTTTTTTTCTGTGCACGATTATTTATACACTGCAATTAATTTTTCCTACTGATTATGTAGCAGAATTTTTACGCGCGAACAACACAACATCCTAACACTTATTGACCAGCACTATTAGAATTTTCCTTTTAATTTTAGAAGAAGAATCTTCTTGAAGCCATTTATAAGAGGACATTCGCTAAGAATAATATTATACTTGTTGGATAAATAATTATTAGTCTCTCAATATTTATTTATCCTAATCTTCCGATTAACAGTTCACTTCGCTTTATTAAAAGAAAAATACTCATTTAATGAGAGAGTTCTTGCTAACAAGTAAACTTACCCAAAAGATATATTCCGATTTCCTTCTAATTTGGCACAAATTTAAAAGTACAACAAATATTTAGATCGTATTTTTTCATCTTGGCCCACTTTGAGTTTCTCGGGCAATTTATAGCTTTTTAATGTTCTCATTCCTATCATCAACAAAAATGCAGCAAAAATGCATAAGAAATAAAATTGAATACAAGATATAGTTAAATAATTTTAACAAAAACAGCTGAAGCACGAACTATTCTAAATTTCTTTAGCCGAGATTCCAACCAAAATATTTCAAATCTGTGCTAAATTAGTCAAAAATAGTTCGAATCTCGGCTAAAGAAATTTAGAATAGTTCGTGCTTCAGCTGTTTTTGTTAAAATTATTTAACTATATTTTATATTCAATTTTATTTCTTATGCATTTTTGTTGCACTTGTTGATGATAGGAGTGAGAACATTAAAAAGCTACAAACTGCCCGTAAAACTCAAAGTGGGCCAAAATGAAAAAATATGAGTTAAATATTTTTTGTACTTCTACATTTGTACAAAATTAGAAAGAAATCGGAATGTAAGATAGATAGAATGTAAGATTGTAGATAGATGTACTTGTAAGAATGTGGAATTGTAAGAAACAGTATCTTGCAACTAGAATTATTTGTTGGATATTAAAATATCATCCTATTGGTTTTAAAAGAATCTGCTCTCGAGGCCATGTATAAGAGAATTTCCGAATAAGATAACACCTTTTTAGTTATGATTTTTTGTTAGAAATAATTATTGGTCTCTCTATGTCTAGCTATTCTAATTCTCCGATTAATAGTTCACTTCATTAGAAGCGAAACACTCTTTTAGTGAAAGTTTTTGCTTGGAATGTGGGATTACAGGAAATAGCGTCTTGTAACTAGAATTCTTTTCGAGTGTTAGAATATCTTGGTTTTTGGAGAATTTCTCCTCTCGAGGCTGTATGCAAGGCAATTTCCGCTAAGAATAAAGTTATACTTTTCCCGCTGAATCCCGCTGAATAATTATCCACCACTCCATGTTGATTCATCCTAACTTTTCCGCGCATTTCATGCAATAATACGCGCAATTGTTCGACAATGTTTCCACGCGGGAGATCCGCTTGATTAATTCACCGGCTCCTCCTCGAGAGCCGAAATCGATCGACATTCCTAGAATATCGATAATAGTAACAAAACCAATATTAATATAACGTTTTACCTCGGCTGAACTGCTCGTAGCTAGCGATCACCCTCTCGGCGTTCTTCCGGGCGATGTAGAACCACTCGCTGCTGTTAGTCAGGTACTTGTACTCGATCGCGAGATCCTTCACGAGAACGCCGTCCTGATTCGGCAGCCGATGGGCGAACGGGCAATACAGCCAGCGATCTTTGTACTGCAATTTGTCGTAGCAATTGCCGGCGGCGAAGATGTCCTCGTCGAACTCCACCATCGAGAGCACGCTCGCATGCAACAGATATTCCGAGGACAGCATCACTTCTGGGGCGTACTTCCAGAGCCTGGTGAGCATGTTGGCGCGATTCACGGCAAGATTCGCCTCCAGCCGGAACCTCTCTTGAGCGTATTGGTCCACCACGCCTTCTCCCAGATTGAGATCGGTGCCGGCGGTGCAGTTCTCGCCCAGAGTGTGCTGATTCTCGATTATCCGCAGGAAACGCGTCACTATGTCGACCTGGGCGGCCTCCGGCCTCCTGCGCCCGCGGTCGGAGGCGTTCACCAGCTCCTCGTAGCTTGTGTAGTCCAGCACCACGTCCTGCAGGATCTCCTCGTCGAGATCGCGCGAGGACTCGCTGGTATCCTCGGCTGCGGGCTCCACGCCGGTGATCTCGGTCGTGTTGCGATCCGCCGTGCCCGCCAGCGCGGTCTTGTTTAAGGACATCGCCTTCTTCAGCTTGCTCAGCGGGTCGTCCTTGAAGAGATTCCTCAGAATATCGGGACTGGATCGCAGAACGCCGTGGTTTTCCGAGTGGCGCGTCTTCAACACGCTCTCGAGCTCCTTCTGCGCCGCGATGTTCTTCATCCGCTCGAGGGCTCGGCCGGTTGGCGAGTTATCCTTGGAGGAATTTCGCTCGGTGAGCCGTGAATAATCGCGTATGAGCAGAACGCTGGAGCCATCGACAGGCTCGTTCGCTTTTCTCTCTCGATACAGCTTGAGCAAACTCTCCGGCCTCTCTGGAGCATCATCCTCCTCGGCTCTCTCGGGACTCTGGCCGTTCGCCGGGTGGTCCTTCGAGAAATTTTGCTCCGAGAACCGCAAATGATGATCACGCCTCAAAGCAACGGATCCTGCCTGATGATCGGCCGGGTTATCGGCGCGACCCTCTTGGTCCTCCTGACGAGCCTTGCTCGTCGTAATTCTGTCGAGGGCTCGGCCGGCCTCTTTCGAGCTGTCCCTCGCGGCGTCCTCGACCTTCTGCCGCGCGAAGTGACTCCTCGAGCGGCCGTGCCGAATCTGCGACCGCTCGACGCTCGTCTCCGCCTGCTGCTCGACCTCCGTCCACGGGACCGCCGCCGTCGAGCGGCTCCTCGCCGCGGACACGCCGCGGGCATCCCCGAGGACGATCTCGAGCGTATGCCGCTCTGTGGGAAGGACCTCCGCGGTCACCAGGTGCTGAATTTCAGCTGAGAGATGCGTCGGAGAGGCGCGGGTCCGCGCCGCTACGCCGCGACCCATCTCTGGCTGAGCGGCCACGGGGTTGTTACGTGCCGGCACGCGGGCCTCCGTCGCGGCGCGAAAACCCGTCGTGTCGATGAGCTTGCGGTCGAAGGGCGACGAACGGTGGTTCGGCTGATGGCGCAGGTACTCCTTCGACCTGCTCTCCCCGGCCTGCAGCTTCTCGTAGTGACTGCCGAGGGACTCTTGCGTAAACGTGAGCAGGATGAGCGCGCACCAATAGCCTGACGCACTCATCTTCAGCCGCTCATCTTCCCGCTCGCGACGTCCGCTTGTTACATCCGCCCGCAAGGTGATGGCGCGCTCTGCCTCTCTCTCTCTCTCTCTCATTCACCCTCCTGGTCCCGACTCGCGCCACCACGACGCGACGAGCGTCGTCCTCGCTCGTCGGGGCTGTTAATAGCCCGTGTTCTAATGGCCGCCCGGCCAGCTCGCAACATCGGCGCGCGATTTATGCATATCCCGAGATCGATTCAACTCGCCGACATTTTGCCGCTCGACTAGAGCTGTCGACCGCTCACGCGGGCTCCCCCAGGATCAATGCAACGTCGATATTAGAACGTCGGTTATCGCTCCCTCGCGACGTTAGCGCTCAACGGGCTTCTAACATCCAGCGCGACGCGACATTTCATTCGATTGCCGCGGGTAACGGGCAGTTCGATTTAACAATGCCCAGCCCCGAACTTGCCACCCCTTCTCGAGCTTGCTGCAGACTGCGCTCTTATTGCCACGGGAATGGCATCTCCTCAGCATCTCCGCGGCCCTGCATCTCCCCCGGATTCTCGACGGTGCTTAATAGGTCGCAGCCGCTGCTGTGAATGGACCCTCCTCGACGATCTTGCGTTTCCCCCGGAACTTATGCTTCTTGATAGACCTTAATAGACCCCGCGGCTTTCAACAGTTCCGCGGCAACTCTCGGTCTATCTGCTGCTCGCGTGGTCCCGGCTGCCGCTTTTTGCCAACACAGCTTCTAGTAACAACGTTCTCGCGATGAGTCCCGTGCGACAGACATTTCCGGGATTCAATCGCGCTCGAGGCTAGGCCGCAGCTGGAGCACAGCAAAAGCTGTCGATCGAAATCCCTACTGATTTCCCACGCCTAGGTCGGCGATGTTGGCGATTTTTAGCGTGCAGCTCACGATTATCGATCGCGATCGGGAATCAGCGAATATGATGAAGGGCCCTCATAGCCTTTCGTCGATCTCGCCCTCTCCTCACGCTCCTCTCACTCCTCCCTCCCTCTCTCTCTCTCTCTCTCTTTGTCTCTTCCGTTCTCTCGAGGACGTCAAGTTGAATTTGATTTATTGGAGCGATCTCCGCGCGGGTGCGGAGCGATATCGTCGCGATCGACAGTTTTATCGCGCAATCGTCGCGCGAAGCAGGTGGGAGATACAAAGCGCTCCTTCATTGATTCCAACATACGACACGTTTCTGTCCCGGCAGAGCGACGTCGGACTCCACACGTGGCTATACCATCGCGATCAATCGCGATTCAACGCTTCCCGCCATCGTCGCCGCCGCCGTCACCGCCGCCGCCGTCGCTGCTACTGCTGATTTTTCCAGCTTGGGGGTGCATTATCGTTAATTACAGCACATAATCACATCGAGCGCGCGATCTATCAGAGGCGCAGAGTTCTTTCGCGGCCGCTTTTCTCGGGCGATCGCCGCGTGACGTGTTTATTTATCAGCGTGATTACTTGTCGCTCGCGTGTCGCCGCTTCGTCCCGTCGGCAATTAGCAACGACCTCGATACCTCGAACATCGTCGCGCACCTTGCGTCGGGCAACGCGCCTATTTGTCCAGCTAATCAATCCGCTGTTTCTGGCCGGTCACTTGTTCGCCCCCCGGCGAATGTCTGCGATTGTTTGCGGCGGACTCTCATCACCTGCTCGCGCGGCAATTAAACAATTCAACGGCTGCAATGAATAACTGAGGGACCGGAGTCAATATTTTGCCGGATTTTTTTTAATATCACGATATCGCGCGCGACCTCCTCGCCGTTATTTTATTTATTTATTTTCTTTTTTTTTTTTTTTTTTTTTTTTT